TTAAAATAATTTTCTCTTTCAACTAGTTTTCAAAACTAAATACTGTTAGCGATAGAAATTTTAGTTATCTGCTTGTTGTTGCGCAAAATTTGAACTAATCCAACGGCACTTGGCGTTTGAGTTTCCATAATTTTCTTAGCTTAACGGGCACTGAGCTCGTGGCAACTTTCGCATTCGTTTGCAATGGAAAAGCGCTTTCTTGTCGAAGCACTTGCTGCGCTACGCTGTGGAACTCATGGCAGTTATGGGCCAAGTCAGCGCGCAATAAATTTATTTGATTGCAATTTTCATAATGAAAATCCAAATTTTCTTTAAAAGTAAATTAATTTTATGAAAACAAAAGCTTTAAATATTAAATAAAGAGCTAAAGCACACGCACACTAATGCACACACGAAACAACGCCGACTTACCTTCATCGTGAAAGAGCTCCTCCTTGATGTTGGGCAGAAATTCGCCTATGCGCTGCCACGTTAAGTCCCACAGCGGCAACTGCAGCGTGCCGTCATCATTGTGGAAGACGCGCACCGAATGCATCACCAACAACATATTCTTCAGTATCTCCTGCATCTGTTCGGACAGCATATCGGAGCCGACTTTCATGAATCTCTCAATATAATCCAATATATCGATCCACAGCTCGTTGAAGGCCGTGCCCAATTCAATTAACGGTGTTAGATGATGCAAGAACACCTTCGACATAATGGTAGCCGTGCGTATGCGCGACTCCTCCAACAGCACGATTTCCAAATGCGCCACCGAAGCGCTTTCCGGCAACAATTCGTTGAGTAGCGGAAATAAAACCTGTTGGAAGCACGACGCCCATTCCGCGCCCGACAACGTCTGCAAATCGTGCACCAGCAGCGCGCGCTGCTGCAGACACGATATGGCGTAGGTGCGCACCTCACGACGCCGATCCATGGCGAGCCGTGCAATGCCCTGCAACAGTGGACACCAGCCTTGCGCCCACAGCGCCGAGCACTGCGGCACTGCGCACTCCTCCTCGGCCCACCAGCGAAAGATTTGCGCCGTGCGCGTATACAGCGTGTACATGAGGTCGATCAGTTGTATGGAGAGTGTTTCGTAGCGTTGACGCAAGTCCTCCTCCTTAGCGTCGCCGCCACGTTGCTCATGCGCATAGTAGTCAGCCGCCGCATTGGATTTACGCTGCGCATCGCGTTCATTACGCTTGCCGGCCGCTTTGCGACGTTGCGCAGCCGTTGTGTTGGCCGTCTGTCTTGCCGAGAGCTCGGCGGCGAATTTGCGACGTTGTGTTATGCCACCGTCGCGACAGCACTCGACGAAGGTGCGTATGCAACGCACGCACGACTCGAAGTTGTAGGGTGTAATGTGGGCGACATTGCGCACGATGAACGCCAACGAGTCCCAGCATTTGAAGAGTGCGATGGGCGAGTGTTCGCCCAGTTTGCAATTGTAGATGAGCGGTGTGACTGTGGGTGCGACTGCAGACGAATTCGCCGCATACGCCGTGGGCGGTGATTGTGGACTGTGGAACAAAGTAAAAATTAGTAAATTTTATAAAACAAATAGCTACAGTTGTAGTTATTACCGCGATTGCGTCGACAAATCACTATCCTTATTCACCAAAATCCAATTCTCGGCTGTCGGACTCGACGGATACGGACTGCTTGTGTTCGAATGTACTTGCTGTTGCTGTTGTTTGCTTTGTTGTTGGGCTGGCTGTTGCTGCGATTTGAGGCTCGCATCTGTATCCGATATATAGCCACGATCGGGCAAACCCGAGTCCTCTTCGCTGCTCAAAGTGCCCTCGGAATTGGCACCGCCGCCCAACTCAAGCGCCAGCTGCGGCAATATAATGTCCACATACTCGGGTGGCACAGCGCCAGCGCCGACACATTCCAATATCGTGAAAATTATTTGCCAATCCTGTTCGGAGTGTATATTTTGCGCTGACGTCTTGAGCAGCTCGTAAACGCCGGTGGAGATTTGTCGTGAAATACGCAAAATAACGGGAGATTTCAGCGTGAGCAGCATTTTGAGTGATTGCAACACAATCGGGCAGAGTTCTTCGTTGCGCATCAAGTAAATGGCCAACTTAAGCACAGCCACAATGCTGCGATTGAGCAAATATTCATAGTTGAAGGTGGTGGCACCGATCAGCAGCAAATAGATGCGGTCGCGCACATCCGGCCACAAATGCACCATGCGATCACGATTCTGTATGACAATTTTCACGAGCAACTCCATCCAGAAGACAACAACATCCTCGGCGTACGGTGCGCCGCCGTCGTCGTACTTGGGCGCTGTCGGTGGCTTGATAAGCGCCAAGATGTTGCGCAGCAATTCTTGTAGCGATTCCAACTGCACGAATTTCGATTCTTGTATCATTTGATCTAATTGACATTCTTTGATGCATTTCTTGCCCAATTTGATGAACTCTTGCTCTTCGTAGGTCGGTTCGCGTTGCCCCTCCGAGGAGAGATACGAGTAGAGGCTGGAGAAGAGGCCGGCCTCTTGCTTCTGGCTTGGTTTCTCCAGCTTCAGTTGTGTTTTGCCGCTCTCCTCGCAGAAGTCCTCCACTTCGATAAGTGATTTCGGCAGTAATTTCAAACGGAATAATTGCAGGAATAATTCGAGTATGTGCTTCCAACCTTCGCGCAAGCAATCGCCATAATCGTGCACCAAAGCGAAGACTGTACGCATGGCCGCCTGCGCTTTTGCATTGAAGCCGAAACTAACCGATTGGGTGAGCTCGTTATTGGCGACGGTGGGCGCCTCCGGTTGTGACAAATTCGAAAGTGTGGTGAATTTGCAAAGGGTGAGTATGAGCGCATCGAAATTGGCGTGCAGATTGTAATGAGCGGCAATGCCAGCGCATTTGGTGAAGCCTAAAGGAAAGAAAAGAGTGTAAGTTATCTAAATTATTTATAAACATTAAAT